TCCTGCTAGTTGTGCATCTCGCTGTTCGGAGAGTTGTACTCTCCTGTTAGGCTTTCAGTATTATTTTTGTCATTTTTATTGTTGTATGTTGTAGTCACCGAAAGAATAAAAGGTTGTGTGTGTTCTATACAGGTATAGGCACCATGACATAACAAAGTGCATTGTCAGAATGATATATATAAACATGCTGAAATGTAATATATCTTATGGCCGAAGAAATGTATTTTTCTGAAAAGGTGGGAGTGAAAAAAATCTCACAGGCAAACAGTAGCTATGAACTGAGAATAAAGACAGGAATCTCTTTTTTCAAAAAAAAAATTCACACCCATTTCCTCGTTCTTTCTGATTCTAGGTCTTCACAAGCCAGAGAAGCACTTTAGTCTGAGAAGGTTTCAAATATGAAATGTATCTGGCGCAGGTTTATGGCTTGAAAAGCGGAAGCTAAATGAACGTTTCTCCAAAGGGACGCAGGGTTCCGACTCTTATCGGCAGCCTGTTTTATCTGATTAAGACTCGCTCTAATTTCATTAATGCTATTAATGAAACACGCCAGCAATGTGGCGGCTTAACAGACACCTCAGCCCTCCTGGCAAGGCGTTTCTCCCACGAGACGAGCCCCCAAACACCTCCCTAACCGGGCAGTGGAAGGCAGCTTTCACAAGCTGCCGCAGACACGGCGACCCAGGGAGAGCTGCCCCCAGGCGAGCAGGAGCTGCGCAGCGGGACGTGAGCTGGGTGAAGGTGCTGAGCTCCCCTGCTCCTGGCTGGGCACCGCCTCAGGGCTGGCAGGAGAGCAGCTGCTTCTCGGACGGCTGGCGGCTCTCTGGGCCCCTTTGCAGCAGAGCTTGGCACGCTGCTGCTCGGCTCTAGCTGCTGTGAGAGGGACAGCCGTCGCAGACGCTTTCTGTCGGGGAAGAACAACAGCCTGGTGGGTAGAGTCAGGAGCCGGGACTCTGGATTTGTACCTTTCCGTGGCATTGCTGTGCCATCGTGAGTGTAACCGTGAGTCCCGTTTGCGCCTCAATTTCTGCCCCACGCTGGAAACGCGCGGCTCGCGCAGAAGGAGCTCCAAACAGGACAGACATTTCAGTGGTGAGATGACAGGCGCGAAGGTACGACCCGAATGAAGAAGCTGTGCGGCTGATTTCTCAGCTGCAGCGCGCTGCGGGCACGTTCTGTAACAAAGGGGTAGCCGCTAAGCTGGAAATCAGTCCACACTCTCAGAGGCGATTGCTCTAAGCTGCCTTCAAACTGGACACCCCTTACGCTTCCACTAGCTGAGAAACCCCTCTTTTATTCCACTGAAGGTGGCCACAGGCGGGTGTGAAGCAACTTTCCCCCAGTGAACCCCACACCCTTCTGCTCTTCCAGTCTCACGTCTCCGCGCCACCCACGGGCCTCCCCTGCCCACTCGCACACAAACCGCGCTGCCAAGGCATCCTCCCCCTGCCTCCCAACGCCCCTCGCTCTGCTGGGCCCTCACAGGTACACATCGAAGCACACGAGCCCGCTAACAGACCCCCGTCCGGCCTTGCCACGTCCCTCTGGTGCCAAATCCGACCACGGAACAAGACGTCGCCGCTTGGTGCTTGCTCCTGCAGCCCTCTGTGCCAAAACGGGCTCCTCCTGGAAACTGCGTTACATGAGACAGAATTCTGCAGTGGGTTTGGTTTTTTTTTTGTGCACTGGGACCAGTAATTTCCTTTTAGCCAACATTTCACCAACTTTTAGCCTCCCCCTTGAGTCCCCGTGGTGACAAGCCTGGGAGTTCTGAGCGGGGCTTTGTGCTGAGAGCAAGGTGCACGCGTGTGCACGCACAGAGGTGCGCGTCTCCCTGGGGCATCCTCATCGTTCGGTAGGGACTCCACGGCGTCCACTTGAGTTTTGCATTCCCAGGGCATGCCCAGACCTTCTGCCTACAAGTCTAACTCCTCTCCTCTCTTTCTTGTCCTCTCTTTTCTCCTGCACGGTGTCCTTTCTCAGCAGGGGCGCTTGGACTTGCATAAAATCTCTCTTGCCCGTCAGCAGAGCAGCTCTGCTTCCCAGTGCGGACGTCCCAGAGAAAAGGTTGAGACACCCACTGCAACGGAGACCTCTTCATTGTCACCTGGCTGGTGCATTGCAGCCCAATCCATCTGGGTTTGGTCTACAGCTCTGGAGATTCTCCTTGGGAATGAAAAAAAAAAAAAAAAATCAAGCAAAAAAAAAAGTGAGACTTTCAAAAGCATCTTTGTGCTCGGCTTCCAATGATGTCAGCAGCAAACTGAAGGCTACGAGGGTCCCACCTCCATGTGTGGAACCAGAACTCTTTTCATGATGTGGCCCTGTGCATTTAGGCTTCTGCAAGGAAGGGTTGGATACTCTGAAAAGGATTTTTCCAACACTTAGGAGTAATGATCAGGCAGTAACAAACCCAGATATCAGTTGAAGGCAAAACAAAGTCAAACCAAACCCTTAGTCACAGTCTGTATCCAGAGCATTTTATTATTTAAAAAATTTACAAAACAAAGCTCATTGATTTCTCGTTAATGCTTGTTTTCTACAGAAAGTCATAAACAAGACTGTAACAGAGTAAAATGCTCCTGTGCAAACGTCATCATCAAAAATAAAGTGTGATTTTTATGTACACATAAGTTACTGTCAAATATTAACATTAAAACATCTCTGCGTATAAATGGACTGCAACAAAACCGCAGCATTGTCTTCATCTTCTAAATCACTCAGATGCTTTGTCCGTGACGTAGAAAGGTGTTCAACCCCATTTCTTCTCTTTCCTTTCCTCTAAGATAGCAAGACTTCCTTGAAACAATCTGGGTTAGGTCCGAAAGCACCTCAGCAGCAGCATCCTGTGCGTTGTCCTCAAAATGCAACAGGTGAAGGACAGAGCGGTGCCTCGGAAGCAAAGCGTAATCAGAGCCACCTCGTGTGGTTACGGGCTCTGCTATCCCCAGGACAACGCCGACTGACGGGAGCACACGCTCCTCAGCCTCCACTGGAGACCCTTCCACTGGCAGCCAGGCTGACTTCCCTCTCGAGGACATCTGTGAAATGTAGACGGGCCCCTCTGAAGCCACAGGTGGGTTTCCTCACAAGGGTTTAGAAGTCAGAAGCTTTGAAGGGGCTTTTAGGAGGACTCGACGACTGTCCCCGAGAGCGGAGGCGCCGTCCTCCCCTCCCCAGATCCTCGTGAGGAGCAGAAGAACATTGCACGATGCCAGGCTGACTTCCCTCTCGAGGACATCTGTGAAATGTAGACGGGCCCCTCTGAAGCCACAGGTGGGTTTCCTCACAAGGGTTTAGAAGTCAGAAGCTTTGAAGGGGCTTTTAGGAGGACTCGACGACTGTCCCCGAGAGCGGAGGCGCCGTCCTCCCCTCCCCAGATCCTCGTGAGGAGCAGAAGAACATTGCACGATGCCTGAATCTGCGACACACGGAGGGTTTGATGATGAACTTGTACCGGCTGGAGGAGGCGGGTCAAGCCCACCAGTGGGGTGTTCCAGCGCTCACAGACAGCACATCCAGAACGTTCCTCTTTGCCACCTGAGCATTAGGGGAGGTTCAAGTCTCCCAGCTCCCCGTGCGCACAAGGACACCCTCAGCTGCTCAGTTCCCCTCCAAAGAGCTGTCCTTCGTGTACCTCAGTCCATTGAGCACCACGTCCGGGCACAGCTCTGGCAGTTCCACCTTGCTGGAGAGCGGGTGGAGCTGCAGGTCCCTGTGGTCCACGGCAATAGTCACTCCAGAAGGGGGAGCACGAGCAGAATCATCACCTTTCCCAGCTTCTTCTTGCACAACTCGGTAGTTTTCTAGGGTCAAGCTCACGCTGGGGATGGTGGGAGTGCGAGCTACTTTCAACGTCTTCTTTGACCTGAACCTCTGGTAGCAGAAGAGGAGAGACAAGACCACTGTATCTATAAGCAGCTCAAACATTTCAACCACAGACAACACCGAGGATCCAAACCAGAGACTCCATTGGCTTCCCATGCTGGACAGCAGCAGATTCTCCTGTGGAAAGAACCAAAGGGTCGTGTTTATCAAACACAGCAGAGCTCTGGGAACGTCCAGTTATTGCATGTTGCCAGCAGGTCAGTTTGCTGCTTGCCATTTGGGGAGCAATTTTGTGTGACTGTGCAAAATGTGACTTTTTCAAGTCTCTTCCTTAAGAAGAATAACCCCACCCCATCTCGGGGGCTGTGAATAATCCTCCCTCCAACCGCACGCAGCGCACTGCAACTAACGGCGGGCAACAAGGTTTGAGCTGGCGTAGTGCAGCCTACCGAGAGTAAAGGAGACTCGTTCACGGACTGGTAGTTCAGTTGCTGGTAGAAGATCGTCACCTTGGCAATGTCCTTCCTGCGTTGGAGAAAGGCAGCAGTTAGCAATGGTGGGGTGTTCACACATCGTTCACCAAGGCGCCCCGGCCTTGATTTTACACGCCGAGCGCTCGGCAGTAGGTTTCACCGCTGACTCAAGCTTTCTTTCTTCCTGAGAGTGCTTAACACGAGCTTGGAAAAACGTTACAGAAGCGACTTACGGTGTCGTGAGGAACGATGGGACATTTATTGGACGACCCTGTGCTTTTTTCTCTTGTCCTCTCTTTCCTCTGTGTCCTAACACCTACAAATTCTGCAGGGATGAAGAGTCAATCCCCACTCCTAACAGGAGTCCCTTCTCCCAGCGACTGACCTGTTGCTGGTGGAGTTATATCCATTCTGATGCCTTAGAGCCTGGCGGACCCAGTCCTGCAGCAGAGCATACGCATGTTATTGGCAATCCCGTCTTCTGAGGTTTTGTATGTTTAGTATTTTCTAAATGCAGATTTCATAAGCAATAAAATAGCTACTGTGGATAATAAAAAAGGATGTAATTGATTGGTTTATAACATACAGTGATAACTATCAAGTAGCAGCTGTATTTGGCAGAACAGCAAGGATGTTTTAGGTGAGTATGGTATTCTGGTTCTTAAATTCTGCCTTTAGTGGCAACCTCCTTAAAATAATTTCCTCTTTTAGACTGCATTGGTTGGATTTACACCTACATTATCACCTATTGCACGCAAAGGAATTACCTGGTCGTACAGCCTGAACGCACATTTAGCATCAGCACACGAGAAACGGCAAGAGGTCACCTGCTGACCCACAGAGTTCCCACTGCAGCCCCTCACAAACGGTAATGAGCGAGCTGCTACGCCACAACACCCACTGGAAGGAGAAAGTCATTGACACCATTGCGTAGGTGGGAACTAAGGCAGCGAGGTGAATTGCTGAAGGTCACAGGGAGGGTTGGGTTAGAACTGGAACTGGATGGACCTCTCTACCACCTTCACTGCAGGGCCAATCCCTTGGGCCCAGGTTTGGGACCGGTTTGCTTTATTTGCCGCTTGCCTTGCTGCTGCCTGAGCTCAACTTTGCTGTTCCAACAGCCGCAGGAACTACAGCATCCCCTCTAAACACAGCAGTTGTCTGTGTGGAGTACCTGAGACTTCACGGATGGCCACTTAGCTGTCCCAGCAGACACCTTGTACAGCGATTCCCTGGTAAGATAAAAACGGAGATTATGATCACTGTGACTCTCAGTATTTAAAAGTGAATACACGAAGGCGTTTAACAAAGCTAACGACCTCCCCAGAGCTGAAGTTCTGGGGGCAGCTCTCGAGAACCTTGCAAAAAGCTTTGCAAGACGGCTTAGAAAATAAAACCAGAGGTTGCCCGAAAACCTGTTCGGGTCAGGAGGAAAACTAGAATGGTTTCAAAATCCTGTGATGCCTTCATAACCAAAATATTTTCTATTTTGCTTTAAAACAATGTCTTTCTGTTTTGAAACTGACCTACAATAGAAAAGGTCAACCAAGGAAAGTGATATCGATCGAAAAATGACACAAACGGTTTGGTCTGGGCTTAGTAAAACATTTCAGTGTGATTAAAACAGTTTCCCCTCTCATCATTCACACACAAAGTTCTTACTTAATTTGCCTAACGCTGTCATCCTTCCCCTTTCTCAGCACTGGGGTTCAAATGTCAAACCGAAATCTCTGGTTCAGAAAATGCTAAAATTCAGGTGGCCATACATTTTTCACTAAGCTGCCCACATTTTTCCTCTGCAAGCTGGCATTTACTTCGCTCTACTTTTGCAACCTACCGGCAAGGCTTGGGACATTGGTCAAAGCAATTCAGGTGATGATTTCGGAGCCTGTTGTACAGCTGGTAAAAGCAGTGACCTGGTGAGAGAAACGGGAGGGACACACTCAGACTCTTCTGCGGGAAACGGAAGGCTACCAAATGGAAGGCTACCAAAACCTCTGCCCTCACTCGGCCTCCCCAAGCACACAGCACTCCGAGAGACCTGGTTTTGCCTCCTTCTCGCTTTGGAGTGGTTCCAGCCGGCCGAGCTAACCGCCTGGGTGCAGCGCAGGTGCCTTCCCCGTAAGGATCTGCTGAGGACAGGCCAGCCAGAGAACCAAGAGAAGCCGTTCAAAGCCTTACACCAGCACAGCCACCGGTGCTGGCAACACGGAAGAGCTTGACCCTCTATTAACGTCCTTAATAAAGGGATGCTTGAGAGCATCGAGCTTTTTTAGGCACTAACTTGATATCCGTGCAACTACCCAGAAAGGTGTCTGGATTCAGCGATGCGAGGAAAGAGTCCAAGCAGGAAATTGGCACGAAGCGGAAGGGCAGCGATCTGAGGAGTCATGCAGCCAGCGACTATGGTAGGAAGGTGTTCCCCTCCAACAAGGACAAGGCAGCGGGTTTTTTTTGCCCTTACCCCACGCAGGCTGCTTGTTGTAGTCACAGTATTCAGCGCCGGGAGGCAGGGGGTAGTAGTAATAGCCACAGCCACATTTTCGAACCATGATGTGCTGAAAGCAGGAAAGCAAACAAGCCTGGAAAATAAAGAAGGCATAAAAGATTGGCTAAGCCAGAAATCCTCAAGCGCCCAAATCTTCAGGCTGTAGCATGCAGCCGCTAGGAGACAGCCTACGGATTTTGTTACTGCAGAAAGACACCAGCCGTTACTACAGCATAATGACCCAAAAGGTTTTCACCGTTTCTTTCTTGTCTTTACCCCTGAAAACAGTATTGAACTCAGACAGAATTTTCCCCAGCTCCCTTCTTCATTAGGCCCAGCAACATCTCAGTTAAACAGCCCAAACCTCCAGGGCCAGGAGCAACTACTGACACATACAAAGACCTGATGGCCCACGAACGTCCTGCTAGAACCGTCCAGCAGCCCTGACCGGCTCGCTGCCTGACCTCTCTTGTGTTACAAGGAGGGAAGAGCCCCAGGATCCGGGACTGAGCATCCCCCACTCAGTAAAACACATTCCAACACGCTGTCTGTGAGCTTATTGTCGGAGGGGTGTGAATCTCGCTGTTCTCTCCAGCAATGGACCTGCTGATCTGTAAAAGCTCTCTGGAGAGTAAGGTATGACTTGTTTGCGCTTCATCCACTTCGAATAAGCTGGGGCCTCAGCCAGCCACTCTGGCAGTACCTGCAGGGTGTAGGAGTTGTTGTACAGGAGTTTAACATTCACATCGTTGCCGTTAGTCGTGCATTTCCCATAATTGCCACCCAGGCGATTCACCTCATCCTGTGGACACGGAAGAGAGGCCTGAGTGATTAGGAGCTTTAATTGGACCTAGCCACCACCATCTGAACTTCACTGGACGGAGCATCGTACAAAGGACTGGAGGTGTTGCAAACTGTGTGAGCAGCCGAGCTACACCTTGCCAATAAAACGTACAGAGTCACGGGGCAAAGGCAGGAGAGTGCACTCTGCTTCAGCTGACAAGCAGGAACTCATCATGTCAAAATAACTAAATCACTTCTGGATGTTTGTTCTCATCCTCCTATACACATGCAGCCCCCCGGGTAGAGCCAGAATGAGGTGTAAGAGGCGTAAGAGTCTCAGTGTAAACCTAATCAGGCCCCAAGGTATTGAGGGCCAAAAGGCCACTTGCACGCTTGGGATAATTTTGGGGAACCTGAGCCCGGTGAAGAGGGAAAAGGGGCTTGCACAGGTACACACAGGCAGTCAAGAAGGGAACACAAGGGTCCTGCAAGTCCGTTGTACGAGTCAGTGACAGCGTTCAGCTCCTCACAACTTCCTGCGAGCAGAAGGAGAAGAAACAACGCCCGTGAGCAAGCGGCTGACCTGCTGAATGCCGATCGTGGTTGCAATGCCTGGTCTGATGTCAAAGCCTTCGTGCTCAAGGAACGGTGTCTGATTGTGGTTGTGTATCATCACTTTCACACCCGCTACCGTAGACAAGAGTGGGATGTGATCCTTCTGCTCTGCTCTCAGGATGAGGGAAAGCCCTGCAAACCAAAGAAAAGGGAAGCATTTAACAACTTCTTTGGGGCCGAAACAGGAACGCCACGTCACCTTGAATTCTCAGCACCGATCAAAGGTCTGCCTTAGCTCACGGAAGAGACATTCTTTTTCCCCACAGACCTGCTGAGCGGCCAGGTAGCAATTGCACCAGCCTGTTCCAAAACTGTAACAATATTCTGCTTGAGAACTAATATTCTCCTTGCTATAAGTTACAAGATATGGCTGATAGGGCTATCACACACACGTGGCTAGTGAAGCAAGCAAATACAACACATACTCTGTGCCACCAGACTAGAAAGGAGAGCTCTATGTCAGTAAGTCATGTGCAGAAGACATACTTAATCCACAGCCAAATTATAGCAACTTTAGCTCTTCTTCCCACCCTTTCCCAAATAACGTACCATAAGGAATTCCTGGTTTTGTAGCTGTCCAAAAAGAGTCTGTTCCCTTGCTGTTAAAAGTATAGCAGCTTCCAAAGACCGGGTGGTGAAAGTGAACATAGTCACTGAAATCAAGAGAGATTTTGATGGCTTTTAATTACGAGCGTAGCAATACCTTGACTTCTGTGTAGGATGTGTGTGTGGGGGTGTGTGTGTGTGTTTGTATGTACAGGATGCCTATGGGAGAGAGTTACTCACTGGAGAGAAGGAAGAAAGGGATTTGCTGCTCACCCAAGGTTACAGCCAGAGCAGCAAAACCAGGAGTCAAATTCAGACCTCAAATTCTGACTTGCTTTGCCTTCCACCAAGTAGACTAAATTTCTCCCTGCCTCTTCCAACAACCAGGTTGAAGTTCTGTGCTCTAATCAAGAGGAGAAACACCACTTCTGTGCTCTAATCGATAGGAGAAATAGATCCTCTTTCATTGTTTTAAAAATTATACCGCTTATTAGCATCATGCTGAACTTCCCTGGGCAAGTCAGCCTCCACCTTCCCCCAGTTTGTAGGCATTCTTAAGAAGAGTTGGGTGGGCACAGGTACAGAGGTGGCAATGCTCACAGTACACAGATGGAGATGCATTACAGGAAAGCATCAGAAACGCTAAGTGCAGAGGAATCTGAGTCAATTGCCTCCAGGAAATATAAACCAGGACCTTATCTCATAAAATGATCTACTGCAAACTTTGCAGACCCCTCTCCTCTTTGCTGAAAGTGCCTAGAAAACTAAATTCGCCCTCTGCTTCTTCTGTGTCCTAGATGAGCGCTTTGCTGCTAACTGTGCTCAAGTCATCAGCTTGAAAACGGCTAAGCCAGCAAACGGCTCATGTGTTCCTGAGGCACGGCATGGCCTTGGGTGTCAGTTGTACTGGGAAGAGCTTCCACCAGGGGAGATGGCAGGCACGCAGGAAAAAAGAAGGCGCACCTTTGCTGTCGGTATTTGCAGCAGGCTCTCTCTCAGTCAGGGCAGTATGCCATGAGGTGCTCTGCCTGAAGGTGTAGGCTCAGTTTCAATCTACAAAGCCCTTGAGTTCTGCTGAAAATCGCAACGAGGGCCCCCAAGAAGGAACATACCTGGGTCTGCAGCGCTCCCCATCATACTGACAGGAGTAGACCATATCTTCTATTTGCTCCTCGTGATCGGAAATGTTGATTATAACCGGGAGCTGGGACATGATATTCATGTAGTGAAACCTGTACCACTCAAGAATCGCATCCATCCCAGAGGAATAGGTCTTGTAGAAGCAATTCCCACCCGTGGCATTGCACTGGAAGGAGAGGGAGCCGTTCAGCACAGCCAGGACATGACAGCCTGAGGGTAACAGAGATGAGGGGGCAAAGGCAATACTGGATACAGGGACAAGGGGAACCTCTGATTTTTTCAGAAAGTGAAGTTTCTGATCATTTTAGTTATCAGAGAATCACAGAACAGCTGAGCTTGGAAGGGTCCTGTGGAGGTCACCTCGTTATGTGCTACGAACCTTCTCGCCCTGAAGCTGAACTAGGTGTGCTACCTCATCTCAGGGGAAGGAGTGCAGGGGAAAAGGGGCAGAAGAGAGCAGACACCAAAACTCAACTACCTTGGAGGAAGGAACGTATCGTGGTTTAACCCCAGCCAACAACTAAGCACCACGCAGCTGCTTGCTCACCTCCCCCCCTGCCCCTGCCCCGGTGGGATGGGGAAGAGAATCAGAACGGTAAAAGTGAGAAAATTCTGCCCCAGCCAGAAACAGCACAGAGGGACAGGGCTGGTGGGAATACTCTACAACCCATGAATCATGAACCAAGTCCTGAGATGCTTGGTTTGTTCTTACTCAGGCCTTAGATGGGTGAACACCCACAGGTTCTGGTGAAAGTGTGCCTGGTGAAGGAGAGGGCAGGACGATAATAATCAGGCAAAAATTGCTGGCCCTTCAAGCCACATCAACCTCTCTCTCTCATAGCTTCTCCTCTTAGATCTACGCTAACCCTGCTTTTGATAGGAAAAACCTGAAGCATTTGCGTTCTTCCCCCAAGTCACAGACACACGTTTACTGTATTCATCCTCTCGATTTATTATTGCCGTCTTTCATTTTATCTGCAACGCTTCTAGTGCCCCCAGTACCACGGCATTTAGACACGGAGGGGATCCTCGCATGTTGTTTCTCTGCTATTTCTAGGCTCACCTGCTCAGTCTAGATGTTTTGTATATTTTTAGAAAGGGGCACAATGATTCCCATAGCCTGCTGCTACCATTCCCTACGGAATTTGTCCCTGCCAGAAGGGCTTTACAAGTGGGTGGGCTGCGTAAGGTGGTTGGTGTTGCTGTTTCACCTCGCAGGAATCCTAGCAATCAGCACAAACTGTTGGGGGCAGGGATGGGCTCTCCTGAAACATCCTCCCAGCTGTCATTACACAGCACTGAACAGCCTCACCTGGGGCTTCCACCCACACCCTCTGCCTCTGGGCGAGGATGTATTTAAGCTCAGCCTGGAGGTTTCAGCCCCTCTTTGGGCTGTGGTGCAGGGCTGTGGCTTTCCAGCCAGGCTGCTGCTGCGCTCCTGCCTGACCACGGGCCCTGCTGAGCCAGTGGGCTAACCCTAAACCTGCCTCGTCACCACGAACTTGCCTGATGAGCTGAACTCTTGCTTGAACCCGGCTGCCGTCCGTGAGCTTTCCCTGCTCGCTTGCTCAGGTACTGCGGGACGGGCCCCCATCCTGCCCCGCCGGCAGGCTCCCCCTCTGCCCCGGTCCCCGAGGGAGCAGCCAGTTGTCGCTGCTGGTGGCTGTAGCCAGGTTAAAACCTCAAAGAGGACATGCACTTACCAGCTTGAAGCCCACGCTGGAATGCTTCTTCCCTGACCTGTTATTGTGGTCAGGCATTCTCAAGAGTGAGAAGTTTTGGCTCAGCTTGAAGCTAGACCTGCTGAGGTTGCCTACGCTTGGCAAGTCTTTCACGTGGATGTTTTTCTCATTCGTGTGGAATAAGCTGGCTGATGTGTTGATGCCGTACAAAAAGGCAATGGATTCCTCTGCCATGCGATCCAGTTGAACCAAATGTTCGCTAACCAGCTCAAATCTGCAAGGGAGAGAAATCTCCGCTGTTTGTGAATACCCGCATTTCTGTCAGACGAAAGCGCTTTATTTTGTGTCCCCTCACAGTATCCACGGAAAGGTTATTCTCCTGGTCTCTGCAGACCTTGATGTCTGTGTGAGAACAGCCAGCAGCTATGGTGCCTGTGCTTAGTATACCGAACTTCAGTAAATCAATTTATTAGGAGCTCCAGTAACTGGATGTCCAGTTGCTGGATCCTCCACTGAAAACCTCAGAACTTGTGGCTGTGCAGCATCAGCTGCACAAACTGGCCTTCCTGTCAGCCAATTACGGACTTATTCTGAGGAAACGACATGATTCCTTTACTGTGCAATTTGAAACTTTTCCGTAAGCTGCCAGCACTGTGCGAGCCCTCTTTGACAAGCAGAGCCACACGAACTTCCACAGAAGTTATACCGTTTCCTCAATGGTACGAGAACCCACGCAGAATCAGCTGTTAGGAAGGAATACACACCGTAGCCACGTTTTTCAGGGAAAGACTGTTTTTATCAGAGCACAAAATCAGTTAGCAGCTTGGACCAAGTCACAAGGTAGAGTTCCCTCTATCCTGACTCAGTGCATGAAATTAACTGCTACAAGCTGTTGCACAATTCCTACAAGATCTTATCTTGAAACCAGTTTGGAAATAACAATAGTCCCTTTCCGAGGCAGAGAGACCTCCCTCTACCTTCAGCCTCCTCCAGGCTGCAGTCATCAGGCTGCCGACCCTTCCTGAACCCTCGTGACTAAGGACATGCCTACAGCCGAGGGGAAAGCACGGGTTACCTGTATGGGTCCAGGTTGCAGATGGTAATGGCTGGAAACATCTTGGCCTCCGAATGCATTGACATGGTCAGGACAACAGGGTAGGCCCAGTACTGGCTGAACATGAGCGCAAATTGCCAGTACAACATGCCGAAGCTGGCCAGCAGAAGCAGAGTCCAAAAGGCCGTTTTCATCCTGTTGCTGTCTGAGCACACAAGGCGGATGGTGCCGTGGATCGTTGTGTTCTTACAGAAGAACTCAAACATATCCTTGAAGGAGTCGTAAAACTCAATCAAGCCTTCTTTCTTCTCCTCTTCTCTCGCCACTTCCTGCTCCATCCTCTACGTCTGTTCAACAAAAAGGAAAAAAAAAAAAAAAAAGAGATTATTAGCATGTTAGCAAAACCATGGCCAATCTATGGCCTGTTTCAAACAGGGTGCTAATGAGTTTGTTGTTATCAAAAGCTGAAAATAACTGTGAGCTGAGACTCATCCGTCCTTCCAGAGTTTGGACACCAGGAAGCAGCAAAGAGGTCGAATGTCCTGCGTACGGCTGCCCGAGTAACTCCAGGCGTTCTGCCACACTCACACTGTGACTTCTCTGTTGGTACCGATATGCAAAGTTGCAGTGACTAACACACGACCGGCTGAGAAGTCTGCTGTCAAAGGGGTGTGTAGTTTCCTTCTTTCTAAGAACACTAAGGGCCAACATTTAATGCTGAAGCAGTGTGTCACTGTGCACTCGTACAGATCTGTAAGTGATTCATCATTATGAGTATATTGGTAGTGAAACACGCTGGCCTATAGGCCTGAAACAAGGCTGTCTCAGAACTAGCAATATGGCTTCATCCTTACATCAAGGAATGGGGATAGATCCAATTTACAAATGAATGAACGGGACAAATTAGGATCAGGATTTATTTTTTGACGTATGATCTCTCATTCTGCAGAATGGAGGTAAACAGGATTAATTTCTGCCATCCCTGAAATATATTTCATCTTGGAGGTGGCTCTAGTAGGTATTTCATAGTTCAGATGAGCAGAATCAGGTATTTAGGAAAGGGAGAGGAGAAAAACACCACCTCAATTGAAACCAGAGAGGGGATTAACGAAATTAGGATGTTGATAGAGCATTTCAGATACTACTTGAAACAAAAAGCTTTTGGGTTGTTTCTGAAGACCTTGGAAATAGTAATTACTGCCATTAACAGAAATTTTGCCACCTATCTCTTACGTAAATTATTTCTTCCAGGAATCTAAAAATCTTCTCCTCCTCTCTGTTTGACACAAGTGAAAAGGAAGCATGGAAACTAAAAATCACCCAAGAAGAGTGTGGCACAACTGGAAATCAAGATCCCCATCTCCTTTGTCACGGTAAGTAAAACATCTACTATTCTGCTCTAGGTAATTTCAGACTTTATGCTGATGAGAGTGTGAACATTATTTATGCTCATACGTTTTAGCCAGCACAGACCAAGGACATCTTCCTAGGTTTTGGCATCAGCTTGGGACGTTGGACTAATGTTCACATACTTCCACTCACTGAATGTGACATCAAGTCCTGTAATATGTGAGTTTCCAACATTACAGCACTCTGTGAATCACCCTACCTATTATGCTATTAAGAGAAGTTTACCGAGTACAACACTTCGCTCCAGCCTTAACTCCAAACAAAAATCTTATAAATACAGTAACAGGGTTTGAAGACAAGGCGAGGATCGCACAGATAACTAAAGAATTGCTGCAGACGGGCTACCCGATAACGAAACGAAAGCTCAGGCCCTTTGCTGAGTTATGGGCCCTGAAGTGTTTGGCGGTGGCTCAGCCTGAGCTTACCACAGCTCAGGCGACACACGCACTCATGCCCTGACCTGCAGCGCCTCCATCCTCAGCTAGACCTCTCCAGTTTAAACCATGGCTTTATTTCAAAGGTCTTTGGAAGAGGACACTGCATATGAAATGATATCTTAGAGTTACAAGCTGCTAAGACAGTCTCTTCTGGGTACTTATTCATGTCAGAAAGATCAGGAATGATCCTCAAACAGCCAAGTGCACTCTGAAAGCTCTATGTCAGACTACCTTTGAAACAGCCCACGAGAGTGTATTATCTGACGAGGAAACCCAGTTTATCACAAGCTGTTTTCACCAAAAACCGTAATACATACCACGTTTGTATTATTCTAAGATACCGTTTAACAATAATACAAAATCAGCTCAAAGGCATGTGCACCTCCTTTATGTTTTTATAATTAAACATGACAAATGATTTTTCAAATTTCACAGCTATACTTGCCACTGGAGAAGTACAGGAAGCCCAAGCAAAGTGAAATATTAAAAACAAGGGCACGAACAATGAAAGCAAAACCTGTGTGATCAAGAATTGAAGTGGGAAATGAGCAATTCCACTTTTGCTAGAAGGAAAAACTTATGTTTTTCTGCAGTACATATAGTTAAACTGTTCCTGCCACACAGATTACACAGAGCCACGGCACTCTGACCCACTGCTTGCAAATTTTATCAGCCAGCTGATAAGGCTGACATCTGGGTGCTTCTTCAGCCAAAAAAGGACCATCTGTGGCAAACTCCAGGAAGGAAGACACGGTAGTTTTGCTACCCCTCTAGTTACACAGTTTTCAGATTAAACTCTTCTGCTAAATTGTATGTTCAAACTTTATCTTATTCAGCTCTTTCTTTCCCATTCTCATTTTATTTAGACATGAATAAATGAAAATAAGCCTGCAGTGTATGTTAAGAAATAAATGAAATGAGTCCTTAAATAGTTACGGTATTTTAAGGTAGAAATGAAAATTGTGTGAGACTAAACCAGGAAAATTTAATTTGTTACTGTTGCATTAACCTCACTAGTCAGCCTTGCTCTAATGAGAAAAAGTAGAATAAAAGGTAATAGTTACCAGAAGAGAATGCTGAATCAAATCTATCAAACACGCTTTGTCCATGTATAATTTCAAATCTAAACCCCCCACCTGTTAAATATTCAAACCATGGCTTTCAGAGACAGCCCGCAGTTTTCAGACATTCTGACTGGGCTTTTAAGGCTATGGCTAGTTAGTTCATACCATTTGAAACCGCATTCTTAAAATAACTAGAATGAAAAAGTATATGATAATGCAAAAAAAAACACCAAACCCCAGAGGACATCTTTCAAAACACACGTGCGTACAGGCAACAGAACAGCCTCTCTCCACTGGCTTCCCAGATCAGCCTACCACTAATTTATTCAACAGAGCAATTGCAGTCAGGGACTTAACAAAACATTTAACAGCAACAGTGACCAGTTGCCCGTCTTGTCTGCGGTAAGTGCCTGGAGAGAGGCTGCAGGTTACAAGAAAGGCAGTGGAAGTTACACAGCAGCGGCAAACCCGCCTGTGTTCGTGTATTAGCACAGCACCTCAGTGCTCAACTCGTACTAAACACTTACACAGGAACATCACGTAGTCAAATAGGTAGCCACGTGCAGAGGTAGCTATATCTACATGTCAATCACACACATACACAGAAATGCACAGTACAACAGCCAGGAGCAAATCGCCAAACACCCCACTGTACCTTGGCAGAAACTCTATCTTTAGAGTAGCCCCTAAGCTCAGCCTTCGGCTTTATCCTGAACAGAAGCCAAGTCTTGGTCCAAAGCTTTCAGATTTCCTTTTCTCACTGCAGATACATCGGGAGCTGTCCAGCCTATATGGATCAAATCGATGACATCAAAGGGGGCAGGACTTGAGAAACAGATCATGGAAATTATTCAAAGCATGATCCAGGGAATAATAGGAAGTGAATGAACTGGCCAAACAAGTTAACATGAAGGTTACGCTTGAGTTAACGTTGGCTGGAGCGGTGGTGCTGTGTTCTTTTTTTTATTATTATTTTTTTTTTTTTAATGGCTTTTTAGCCGTAATTTCTATAAATACCTGGGGCAGTAACCACGGATCCTGTGAGGTTCTTTCTGCTCTGAACTTTCCCATCAAGGAACCAGCTTTCTGCTGCCTTTTCGTGGTTTCCGGAAGCTTACATGATCACTAATAATTGAAGCCATTAAGGTTTCCACAGGTGTGCTTGAGGAATTACATACCTCAGTGTAATCTGAAATGATCAGCTACTCAGTCTAAGGCACACGTGGCAGTGGATTTCTTCCTGCTTCCCCAAGAATATTGCTCATCTGCAGTGGGCTATCCCATACACATTAAGAACCTAACTCTTCAGATGTTGAGACGCGAATAGACTAAATCGGCCACGACACTCAATTCAAACCAGAACACCCTGGTTTTGTAACGCTGCTGAGTTAAGGCTTGCAAAAGTCTGCACAAGTAATGCAGAAGTAGTTTCAGAATTCTGGGGCTGCTAAAACACAATCACCTCAGATTGCGTGCGTAATTAGTACTGACATCTGCCCCGTCGGAAAACAGCTCTGCAGTGGTTTTGCAAGAAGCTCGTTGTATGAAAACATTAATACCCTGGATAGGGCTAACGTTTAGAGCTCCAGCTCAGACCAGCAGAGCTCCTGCCTGCCTTGTAAAATTGGCTGGAACCGGATTTTCTATTATATTGGAAGTTGTGAAACACTGTCATTTGCAAAGACAATTGAAATTTCTTGTGAAACTGAATTCGCAAAGAAGGGAGAAAGGACAAAGATCAGGGGAAACACGCTCTTTGATTTTGACCGATTTCAGTCCTTTTTAACAGCAGCTTCGTGCTGGATTTTGTTTTAGAAAAACAAAACATGCAGAACGCTCATCTCAAATTTTACAATGATTATTCTAAAAGATGCAAATCCTATTAAACAGCTGCTATTTATGTGTTTTGCCCCTCTTTGTCCTTGGCATTAAAAGGAACCGGCGCAACAAATATTTGGAGAATGTTCTAAATTAGAAAAAAAAAACGTTATTTTTGGGGTGTAAAAATTAAACTTTTGATTAAAAAAAATCCGATTGGCTCTCGAATGAATGGCTGCAGCAGAGCCACTTGTCACTGATGGATGCCGAGGTGAGTAGTTAAATTCTCATTAAAAACCTCAGAACGCTGAAAACCTACTTCTGTCACATCCATTTGTCCCCCGCCCTTCTTTCTCTTCATTTTACATTGTGCAACAGAAAATGGCAACAATAAATCCTTGACAATGAAATTATTGCACAAGGAACACACACAAGACAAATCCTGTTGCTTCATTATGGCTGCAGGCCTCAGTGTAGAGATTCTCTGGCAGCACATCAGAACAAGCCCTTCTGAGCCAGCCATGAATTTTTCCTGCAGGAAATGGAGAAGAACTGGATATGCAGACAACGCTGTCCCTCAAGCAAGATACCAGCTCTGTTCGCACTTGC